ATTAAACTCTGAACACCAAATTTTACTGCCTTTGTTATATATTTTGATATTTGTACATATTCTCTTGCAATAGAATTCAGTTCTATTTTGTTATTTTGTCACTATATATCATTTCTAGCCATTTTTCATTATCCCATATCAGATGTTCTTTCTGTCTTATTTAATGTTTCATGGTTAATGATGTTTTCTTTATGCAATGCATCCATTTAGTTTACTTTTATATAGTATTCTTCTAACTGTATGAATTTATACTTCACTAGTAATGCTTTTTTCTGCCATGACTTGACAAGCTGTTAATCTGGGGTTGGATATTAATATATCCAACCCCAAATTAACAGCTGTAACCTAATTAGCTTTTATTGATTTTGTGTCCAATTTCAGAGTTCTGTTCATATTCAAAAGGCTCCTAACATCAGCAATACTTCTTCTGGGTGACTTGGACAGAATGCCCTGATATTCCAGACTCCTTAGCAATTTTACACATCCACTTCTGTAAACTCACTCTTTCCATTATGAAAATTTAATCAACTACACTAAAAAGCCAGGTTGAAATCTCCAGACTTTATATAAACAGTGCTTTGGGCATTTAACACAAGAAATCTGCATGTGTATCTTAATCTGGGATGATATTTTTGTGCAAGGTGTTAAGTGGCTCATAAATATTGCATGTCTTACTTTCAGAATCAGAATGTGTTCAGATCTGTATCTCCTCTGATACAGTTTACACATGAAAGGTAATGATGATGATTTTAACTGCTTTCATACAGGAAACATTTAGTATTCCCAGTTGAAATTTATAACATCTTTTTCTTAAAACACTTTTTCATAAAAAGAAATTTCTTAAGACCAATGTTATTGCTTTTTCAAGTAGTGATGAGAGTTTCCTTTCTAATCTTTTGTTTTTGGTAGTGTGGAAGGTCAACATCTTGGTTATGTCATTATTTTTCCATCTACATGTGCTATTCATTTTAGTTGTTATTATTGGAAATCTTCAAGTGATCTGGTTTTTGTTTTTTTGGTAAAGCTCTTTATGATTTTGTAGCACCAATTTTTAAGGCTAGATTAAGAATTGCTTGGAGACTTATTAGATGTGCACACATTATAGATAATTAAACATATGAAATTCATTAACTTCCTGTTAAGAATTTCAAACATGTAGCAGTTTAAACTCATCTGAATGTCAGTCATAATTGATGTACATCCATTTTGTCGGTATTTCTAACACCCTTTATTTAAATATCCATAGTTGTTGCTTTGGATATCACAAAGGTGCCTGACAGGGTTTCACATGCTGGTCATCTTTAAAAGTTGAAACATTATGGTATTCTGAATGCATGTTTGATCTGATTCAAATTGAGAAATGAAAATTGTCTTGAATGGCCACTCTTCTAGATCATTTTGCATTAATGCAGGTGTCGCCCAGGGCTCTATAATTTTCATCAACAACCTTCTCAATGTCATCAATCCTCAACATTTTATCTATGCTGATGATTCAACTATTTACTCCTGTCTTAATGGTAAGTCTGTAGGTTCAATAAGGTCAAATTGGTAGCTAATATAAAAAATGACCTACAATCTGTTGTTAACTGGGGCAAGAAAAAGCTTGTTAATTTTAATTCCTCCAAAATGAACTACTCACTTTTAATTGTCATAAAGAACCTTTTTTGTCTTCCACCAGTATAGATGATGCTAACTTCCAGGCAAGTGACTCATTGTGCCTTCTCAAGCTAATATTTTCCACTGACATGAAATGGAAAGATTATATTGAATCAATTGCTTGGTCTGCTGCAATGAAAGATGGTTAATTGTATTGTACTAGAAAATTTTTCTCACCAAAATCAATCTTATGTTTATAAGTTGACAAATCATCAATGCATTGAATATTGCTGCCACATCTGGTCTGGTGTTTCTGCAATGTATTTAGAGATTCTTGATAAACCCAAAGAAGAACCTGCAATGTTATCAGTTTTGACCTGGCATCTTGGTTTCTGTCATTTTTCCACTGCTGTAACATAGCTTCCCTGTGTCTTTTCTATAAATATCTTTATGCTAATTGTCCTAATGATTTTTCCTCTTTGCTACTGAAACTCTAGGAATTTAAGTGCAGTATTAGAATGGCAGTTAGGTCTCATCATTTTACAGTTGTTACTGTAAGTTCCATGCTAAGAGATTCTATTCTTGCATGTGGATATCTATCCTGGGGTCTTGATTACCAGTCAACTTTGGTCTAAATGTAATATCAATCATTATCTTCTCTCTTCATAATTCCAGTTTTTTTTTCTTAATAATGATTTTTTTCTCATATACTTTTACATTCATTAATTCCTTGTGTGTTAGTGGTTTTATTGCCTTTTTTTGCCTTGGAGTGAAATGATTAAAAAAATCTAACAGAAAATTATCCTATTATTTGTGGCTGAACATTTGTAAGAAGGTAATACAAATAACTTTTATTGGTATAATAGTTATGATGCATTGTTGTTGCAATCTGAAATAATTAAAATTGATAAGAATACTAATTGAAAACCTGTATATGTTTGTACATGTTTGATTGTATATTGTTTTAATCAATTGTGTATGATTGCCAGAAATTATTATTATTTTCAATTTTGCTGAGAGTTGGTCATTGCAAGAATATACTGGGTATTGAAATAAAAATTAAAATGTTGGTCAGTATAAATGTTCGAAGTATATCATAAAATGTTATTTTGACCATCTACTGACAAAGGTATTATAATCAAATTTAATTTCATTGTTTTACAGCCTGTTTTTATGCCTGTCCATATTTTGGATCTGTCAAGTGGACTGATTTTAATCATTTAGCTTCTTTCCTGTTCTTTACCACAATCATGATCAAGCAGATTTTTCTATCATTTTTAATATGCAAGTATTTTTCTGGGCTTCCTCTGATCATGCACAACCTCAACCAATATATATGTTTCATGGAGTGAAATAAGTTATTGTCTAAGAAGCTTTGAGAACTCCCTATCTCAGCTCAATGCTTGTTTTATTGCATTAAATTTTCTTTGTCTTGAAAAGGGTTTTTTATTCTTTTATTCTATCATTCAGAGACAATTGCTCTCTGCCATAATAATTTGTCCAGATTCCAGCAATATGCCATTTAAGAATTCTTTTTGATGTCTGCCAAAACACAGAGAAGAAAGTTGTTCAGTAATATATTTGACAAACATGGACTTTTGTGGGTTCAAAGGATGGTTTTCCCATGACACTGCTTTTGTAACTACATTCACTCTTAGGCAATGTTTATTATTTTTAAAAATGATAATTAGAATTGGAATAAAACCTAAACATATGAAAGTGAATTTATACATTTTTTTTAAGAATTTACAACCAAAACATTAAACACAATTTAAATAATAATTTTATATTTGCAACATTCTAAAAACTAATGCAATTAGAACTAATGCCACACAATATTTATCATTAACTAATTTATAAAGAAATAAATATGAAACCAATTTTTTTTTTATTCATAAAATTAAAAACATTTACTAAATTATAAAAATATGTGAACCAACTCTAAGGAAATCTTTATTATTTATCACTTTATAAAGTTTAAATCAATTGGCAATTAGCTGATGTTTTACCAACCATTCCAATAAATAAAATCATAAATAAATAGTGTGAATAAACAATCTACTAAATAAATAGTGTTTATTATTTTGGTTGTCAATTCTCAAGAACAAAGAAAATGTATAAATTCACTTTCATTATATGTTTAAGTATTATTCCAATTCTAATCATTGCTTTTTAAAACAATGAACATTGTTGAGGAATGAAGGTAGTTAAAATAAAAGTGGTGTCAAGAGCGAACTGTCCTTTTGACACTTTGCTGTGCTGGATCTAATTGATTAATTTGTTGGAAAATGCTTTTATTCCATGTCAAACAAGAGAAAAAGACATCTTTGTTTTGTTGAGCTCATGTATAGCTCAGTTTCTAAGTTTCTGAATTGTTGCTAAGGCTTATAAATGATAGACAGCTGATTTTACAAGCAATAAACATTCTCTTAACATGGTGCAAGAGATGGTGCTGAGCAGCTTTGTATCCAATTTATAAATATGAGGTGTTCTTACCAGTTTGGACAATTGATGTATTTCAAACTACTCAAAAAAATTGATTATAATCTTTCCTTATTAAAAAGAGAATTTTTGTATTAATTTGTAAAGTTTGGAAATTTATCTGACCTGTCAAGCATTACACTAATATTAAAGGTTGGCATCTTGTGAAATAATGGTAGCACCCTTTTTGGTCAAATATTGTCCTTTTGCGATCAGTGTTTGGAATGGCATAACAGACCAATCCTTGTATGTTAATAAACATGAAGAAATATTTATTTGAGTGCTTCAGTTGCATTTCATGTTTTGTGGAAAATGCTTGAGATTACCATCTTAGGTAGATCTGTACTCACCATGCTGAGTTTGTTCAGTATGCTATCTGAGATTTTACATCTAGGGTTCACTATGGTGGGTATATAGAATCTGCATAGCAGCAAACAATGTCAGCTACATGATGATTGCATGCTATGGCGCACATAAAACTAATAGACATGGCTGACACAAAGAAACACCTATTCCTATTTATATAAGGAAATATTATATATATATATATATATAATATCAACAAAATATCTTTTTCAGCCTGGTTATGTGAGTGAATATTAATGAAAGTATACTATGTCTTAAACAGATCTGCTTGTAGATAAGGAAAGTATAAAAATGTGCATATACACACAAACACACATATATTATATATTGTATGTGTATCAGGCTGAACTAAAGCATAACTAATAACTGTGTGTGTGTGTGTGTGTGTATATATATATATAACAGTAAAATAAAAAATATAAATTAGAGCCCCCATTTCTTGTCTGTGAGAATTGGCTTCCCTAATGATCAAAGTTGCATCTCAGTCTTCCTTCTTCTCATTGTGACTCCCTTGCCCACATGGAATAATAAACAAATGAAAATAAATGAATACAAACTTTTCTGTGATAGGATCTCCACTCTTGGGTGTAGACATCTTAATAGATGGATAGATTGAACAAAAGACATGACACTCAGACTCTGTTTACATGGTATCTGTTTCTAATTGCGTAATTTTGTCATCTGGAGAGAGAGAGAGAAAAATGTCATGAGTAAAACAGAGATGAGTGAAAAAAATTCACAAATTGAAATGTATATGCATTGAATACAAGCAGTGCTTGCACTATTTGATTTCTGCTTAATGTGAGGTTGGACTCACCTATTTAACCTGTAATTGTTAGTGCCTGACTTGGGTGCAAAGTGAGGTAAAAGGTTAATGTTAGTCAATTGCCACTTTATCTTTTGAGCCAAGTCAGAAACTTATATCATCTCTATCTTTCCAATTAGTTGGTCAATTGGAAAGGTTTTGGCATTTCTACTCGAAGCAATTCTATTTTTAGAATTATTCAAATAATAATTGTATATCCTTCAAATTTTGTAACAAAGGATTTGTGAAGGCAAAATGTTTGTCAAGCATTTTAATTAATAGATTCTTTTTGTAAAATATGCAAATATTTATCAAGCTTTTATGTTTTACAATGAAACAAACAGATGGCTTATTTTATACATATTTTAATAAGTATTCTCTTCATGTTACCCATTGTCACAATATTTTAGCTATTTTTCTCTTAAGCCATCATACTCAGAAATTTAAAAAAATCTATTATTATACACACACAATCATCAAGCAAATATATGTTGAAGTATTTTCAATAAAAACTACAAAAATATACAAGCAAGTGGATTCTCACAGATCAGCACTTTGTTTATAATGAGGAAAGCAACAATTTTCAAATAGATAAACTACATAATAGCATCAGCAATGTGAATAATGTCAGTTTTGGGCAAAATTAATAATTTATATTATATACATATATCGAAAATGTAATAATAGGCAATTGAATTAGAGAATACAGGTAAGTATAAATATGAATAAATACTAAAATGATTACATTGACAAGACCTCTCACTTAGTCACAATGCATTTTTATACCCACTTTCATACAAGACTCTTTATTCTAGATGGAACTGGTCAAAATGCATTTTAATTATTATAAATTATTTAAAATTATTTAAAATTATTATAAAATTATTATAAATTATTTATTCTGGAATTGTCATCAGTGGTCAACTGAACTTGTTTTGTTTCAATGAATTTATTCTCCTGTTTTTAGAATAATGTAAATATAAAATTATAAATAAATTGTAAATAAATAATATAACATTGAATTAAAAATAAATGCATTGCATGCTTTAAAAAAAAAAAAAATATTATAAAACTACTTAGAGGAAGTAAAACCAACTTTCTAACACTAACCATTGTCAGGCTGTCTAAAAAACTGTAAACATTGCAATTCTTTTAAGTGGTATTAAAAAGAAAGAGCAGTTGTTGCTTTAAGTAGTTGACTTGCATTCAAGACTATTGGAAGCCATAGTGAAATCATTCTCTCTTGTAAAGTACCATGGAGTATGAATATAAGAAAGCAAAATAATATATTTGATGTGCTAGGGGTTCAGCTGATGAGAGGAAGATGTTAACTTATTTTAAACATCAAATGCAAGACAGAATGTGTGGTTGTTAGCAAAAAATTGAAGATGCCAAAATCAAACAAGTACAACAATTTAAATATCTGGGAAGTTTGAAGTGTGAAATCTGAAAGCACATTAGGATAGAGAAAGATGTCTTCCGAAAAATAAACAAATTATTAAGAAACAGAAAAATTTCATTAGAAACAAAGAAAAGAGTACTAAACTGCTATGTAATAGTAATACCAGTCTTCCTATATGGCAATGGATGCTGGACAATCTTCTTACAAATGAAAAAGAGACTTGAAGCAACAGAAATATAGTTCTACAGAAAAAGGATGTTGAGAATACCACTGACTGAACATATGAGCAATGGCAAAGTTTTAGAGAAAATGGAAACAAAAAAGACACTTATACTTAATATCAGGAAGACATAGATGAAATCTACAGGGCACATAATGAGGAAAAGAGGCTTGAAAAACTTGATACTCATAGGACAGATTAAAGGAAAGAGGGACAGAAGATGGCAATGCATAACCTACCTAGTGAGCTTGAGTAAATGGATGACAGAATAAGGTTTAGGAGAGATAACAAATTAAGAGCTACAAAGGACAGAAAATTGTGGCAGAGTATGGTTGCCTACACCTTGAAGTGATATGGCGAATAGAAGAAGAAAAATTTTTCAAAAGATGATAGTGTAGCATTGTGGCTTGGACCTGCACCTAGTTGGGGCTTTGATACCATTTCTTGGATGATTGCTGCAGCTGGATGCAGGAAAAGTTGTGGGATCAAAAAATGAGACACTATTGCCAAAAATCAAAAATGATGAAAAACAGTTGAAGGAAACATGTTGGTTTATTCAATGTACTTCAACAATGAGATGGGATGAATGCTACTAGACTTTGGAAAATGGGGAAGTGAAGAGTGCCGAATGGGGTTCCTTGCTTGTCGTGCTGACCTGAGGCAGACTGCTGCTAGCTGGCAAAAATGGATCCTCTTTTATGAAGAATGAACTCATCCCTACTGCCAGCTTAATTAGGAAAGTCATTAATCACAGCTCATCTTAGACCAAAATATTTTTGTTGAGTGTTGCTTTGAACTGTCATATCTAATTAAAGGGTCATTCTTCTATTTCTAGCTTATCTAATGAGCATAATCATATATGACTATTAGGGAGGAAGTGAATTTTAAAAATTATTTATAGAGACCAAGACAAAACCTAAACATATTTCTCTTTCAAAGTCAAACAATAAATGCCTTGCTGAGTCAGAAATCTTAATGTTTTTGTGATAAATTTTTAAAAACAAACAGGCAAACATTCTAATTTCATCTTTTGATTGACTTTTCCACTTTTAAACTTCACTTATTATTTATGTGTACTATTTACATATTTACAAAGAGAGAACTATACTTTTATGTATAAGATGCAGTTTCAAATATATATAGATATAAGATGGATCCTCAAAAAATAAAAATGGTGCAAAATTCTTTTGCCTCATATATACCAAAGGACACTAAGCATTTCATGTCTTGTATACAGCAAGGTGTCAAAGTGAAAACGGTCACCACAAAGTAGTTTTTAGTAATAGCTTTGAAAAACATATATTCTGCATTTTCATTTTGAACTTAGTACCAGCTCACTCTTAAAACACATTTAAAAGCTATTACATTCTAGGACTTGTAAAATCACTAACATACAACGATATGCACACTATTAATCCTGTGAGAATTATGTTTATACTTAAATTCTCAGAAAGAAGTGTGACCCATAGCAAAGTTCTATCTGAATTTCTGGAATGAGGAGTTATCATTCTTTACACTCAGACTAGTATCCTCATTTTCTTTGTTGTTAAGACATTTTGGGTGTTGTGTCCTCTGGCCTTCATCAGGTGTGTCTGTCAAGCCAGGTTAACTAGCAACAAGACAAGATATCCCTAAACATGAAAAATCTACCCCACATATAAATAAAGGGTTCAGTGTGAAATTCCCTGGAGGTTACCTAGATTGACAGGCACCTGATGAAGGCTGAAACGGTATGACGGCTGACAAAGACCTGAATGTAAATGGATGTCTTAGGTGGTGTAATGGGTAGTAGCTTGAAATGAGAACTCAGGAAGCTGAGTTTAAATTCTAGTTGGAAAAAGTGTGAATCCTCTCCTCTCCCCATCTATGGGTTAAATAGTAGGACTTGTATCTAGAAAAACATCATAGTTATTTTCAAAAAATTAATGCAATATTCACTTGGAAAAAAAAGAATTATTCTTACAATCCAAAATATGTTTCAACTTTAAATAATCCACAAAAGGTTGGTAAACCGTAAAAAAACAATCAAAATTAAACTGAATGTAAATAATATATTTTCAAAATTTTAAAACTGAACTTGGATTTAAGGTAAATTTTCCTTATTTATTTTAAAGCTTAATAGTGTATAAAGAGATCAAAGTTGCTAATGTCAAGATTGAAAATTGCAAATTTCAAATTTTGCCACCAGTGCTTTCATTTCAATTCCAGATCATAGTTTCTGTTTTGGAAAGGTTCATCTTGAATCTTACTTCTTAGAATATTTGGTAGAGAATATTGATTTTTTTGGTTCAAGATCATTCTTATCCCAACTATGAATACATATGTCATCAACCTCCCCACCCTCTGTCATCAGTACGCTGGTTTTGTGAGGGAATTGGTTTGGGATGCTTAAATGATCAGTGCCTACCTCTTTACGTCTGTGTTTGTATATGCACAGGGCATAGTCAAGGAAGAGATTAAATAGATTGGGGCTTTAATTTCCTGCTTGTCATACTCCTGATGAGGTTTGAAATGATTTCGTATTGGGGTTCACCAAACATGACTTTAGGGATTATTATAGTTCTTTTATCAGACCTAGGCACTCAGTGGTGCCAGAGCTTGGAAGATGGTTTCGGATGAGAAGTCTCTGTAGTCAGTGTGAAATAATGATAACTCCTTTTACCCACTCTTTTCAAATTTGGGGGACTTACAAAAAAGATGGAAAAAAATTTGCGAACCTATGTAATATTGTTTTGAACCAATGAAAACCTTGTCTTCACAGAAATTATACGTTGATCTAAGAAGATGAAAAAAAAGAAAGTCGTAAGCCTATGCAAAATTCCTTTTTGATATAAATAAAATGAGGAGAACAGTAAAATTAATAAGAGAAGAGTGTCTGAAGTCATGCGAAAGGGTTTGTTTCTGTTCACTGCGTCCATTATTTGCCAATTATATTATCAGCTTTTAACCAAATTTCTCTCAATGATCCAAAAAATCTAAGTATTTCAAACTATCTCTCTTTATCTACTTTTGAAAGTACGTAAACCATATTTCCCTTCGGTGAACAATGAACTCTCTTATCTTTATTTTAAACATTTTTGAATATTATTTTGCATCAGATCCTTTAATCTGTTGTATGAACATTTCCTTTTCATGACAATTCGTTAAAACTACAGACTTTAAAAAATT